AGAGAGAGAGAGAGAGAGAGAGAGAGAAGGGGAGATTGAATCGTCTCGAGCCAGCTGGTGCACACCTCTTCTTCTTCTTCCTCCTTCTCCCCTTAATCCCTTTCCATCCTTACTCGCTCACGAAGAAGACGGCCGGGTCCTCCTCCTGGCCGTGACGTGCCGTATTGTGGACTTTTCTCAAACAGGACAAAAGGATTCCCTCGGTAAGGGGAGAACCCTCGCTCCCCAGCAACGTCCATCCAGAAGAGCACGTGTGCGCGCGCGCGTCTCGTCGGCCAGTTAAGAGAAAAATTACTCGGTGAAAGAGGAAAAGCTGGAGGGATACGGGGCAAGGTTCTGGTCTTAAACAGTAAACGGTAGCAAAAGACTATAAAAGGTCGGGTGGCTCTTGTGGGACCACTCGAAGTCGAGAGAGAGGAACAAGTGTTTTTTTCGGCCACCGAGTCAAATACTTTTACAAAACGAAGGGGGGAGCGGTGCACATTTTCCTTCAAGCTTGAGAAGAATTATTCCACCAATCCGTGATCGCTTGGAAAACACACAGCTACAAGTATGCACTTTCCACACTCAGATTAACAACCGTAGTAATTAACAAAACAGCTTGTTTTCTCTTCCTTCCTCTTCAACGTGCCAAGGATGTTTTTTCAGTCGCTCTTTGATCTTCCTTTTTGATTACACGGTCCAATGAGCTGTGTTTACGCTTTGCACGTAAACACTGTGAAGTAGCCGACGAGCCGGATTGTTATAGGGAAAAAATGGCCGCCGCTGGGGGAACTCTCTTGATAAAAGCGGAAACTACTTTTCGGTTGAGATCGACGATCACATCGATTAACCTCTTATTCCTTTTTAGGAACGAATCGATGTCGCCTCTTATTTCTCCTCGTGTTCCTCCTAACCGGCCTCCTAACGTCTCATGCACGACGAACGAATAAAACTGGAAAGGAAAAATGGGAGAAAGGTGGAGGAGTGCTTGGAATATACGGATAATTGGTTCGAGACCGAGGACTAAGACGAAGACGACGACGATCCATTAAGGCGTGTTTTTCCAGTCGAAGGATAATATTTTGATTGTTCCACCCTATGCAAACACGAATATTCGAGCGGCAGCAATAACATCCCATTTGCAAACAACCCGGAACGCTTTTGGCCCAGCTTTTGCCGTCCTTTCCAAAAAAAAAAAAAACTTTTTTCAAACAATCTTGAAAAGATGAAATTTCCTTAATATCATCTTTCGTTCCCTTAATAATAAAAAAAAAATCTATGCAATTAGTGGAGGAAGAAAATAAAAAAGAATCCCATTTTCGAAATTTCATCCACTTTTTATCTCTCGAGATCTCGCGCTCGTTCGTCTCAAGTCGTATATATATAGAGAAAGAGAGGAAGATAAATTTCGTCTATGGAATGTTTTGAAGCGTTAACAAGTTCCTCTCTCCAAAAATCTTTCCTCTCTTGTGAGGGAAACAATTTCCTTTCGAAAAATATCGGTACATAGAGTCGACGCGACGTATTTCTTCAAAGAATTTTTTTTTAGAGAGAGGGCAAAAACGCGAATGGCCGATCGAAGCTGACAACGAACAGTTTAATTTGATCGGTTCGAAAACACTCCGCCGAGACAAGTTTATCCGATACAAATTTGGCGCGACTCGACTCCTTCCTTCCCCCTCCCTTTTTTCGAATCGAAGGAATACACGATACCCGTCTTCCACCTGGCTATACGATATATCGAATCGAATGGAATCGAGAGAATCGTTCGTTTTGAGGGCGGCATTCATAGGTAAACACACAATAGGTTAGGAATACACCTGTTTAATCCGCATATTTTTCGTCCAATCTGATTTTTCTTTTACTTTTTCTGTATACATTCAGCGAGTCACAGTTAGAAAAATCGTAACATATAAAAACACGTTTAATGATGAAAAGTGAAAAAAAGATGAGTGAATATATATATGTATATATTGTAAATGTACCTTTATATTTATAGTAATATAAAATAAAAAATATATAGATATTTCTATGTGAAAAATAAAATTGCGAAATATTTTATTTTTATTTTTTAAAAATTGTATAAGAATATACGTTTGATAAGAATTATTATAATGCATAAACAGTAAAATTACCATGTGAAACGTATTTTTATAAAACGATTTTGATTACGACTCGCTGTATATCGCTCAGTCTTGGTTTTCAAAAAATATTTTTATATTCTGCGTGAGCATTGATTGGTTGAAATTTGAGACGAAATAGAAGTACCGCGATAGATAAAGATAGAAGAAAAAGAAGATAAAAATATTGGACAAAGTACTCACTTCCGGCCGCTGTCGAGGAACCTGTCGAATTCGACGGACATTTTGCAGCAAAGGGCCCGCCTGTTGTGCGAAGACGAGCATTTCGTGTTGATCATATGACCGTCTGCAAGACAAATAGAGACACGTCAAGTTTTGTTGAAGAAAGAACAGTGGGCGATGTAATTAAATGTAATTAAATTGAAAGGTTGATAACCCTCCTTCTTGATGTAATCAGAGAGTAATTTTTCATTAATAATTCGATTCGACTCTTCAACGATGCTTTCGAAGATATATCTCTCGATGATCGCGATACGTTCCACCTTGCCTACAGATGCTCCCACGATACACGCGTGTATCAATTATATATAACAACAATACGCTACGATTAATCGTTCGAGTCGTTCTCGTAATTACACGGCCGCTTAATAATTGCGAACTGGAAAGATATAAATCGAAGAGAAGAGAATTTTGAATCCGGTTGGTCTTTATTCTTCTTTCGTTCCAAAGTATAAATTTTTCAAGAACGATCATTTTCTAAATTATTGAGTATAATTATAAAAAAATTAAAAACACGATATAATATCGACGAATGAAATAATTAACGAAATTATCATAAGATCGAACGAAGAGATTTTTAAGATTTTTCGAAATAATTCGACGCGACGATAAAATTTGAAAGAATATTCGAAAAAAATTCGACGAGATTTGGAAGAATTGGGAGCACGTATTCCCTTGCGGCGTAAACGCATCAGTCGGCCGCGTGGGTGGATAATGTCGGCCACCTTAGGATCCAAGGAGGAGGGATGAGCACGCGAGCCCTCGGGCACCGTCCGACATTTGACCTCACCACGCGCTCTGCACCGGTTTGCACCTCCACCACGGCTCCTTTCTCTACTACCTGGCTCGCGTAATCCACTCTTTCTCGTTCTAACGCCAAGATTACCGCCATATTGCTCAATATTGTTCAAAACTGGTTTTCACTACTCCAAATATTTATTATTTCTTTTCGTATTTTCGTATATTTATCTTATAACGTACGGATAAGAATAAAGAATTGGTCACAGGACATTCCGTAAAATAAAATCTCGTTCACGTCATTCATTCATTGGAATAACGCGTTAATCTTACCAATCGATTGAAAAAATTACACATATCAAATATCGTTTTCGAAATATCGAAAGTATAAATTTCGATATATATCGATAAAATTTAGTTAATTAATATGTAAAAAAATTTATCAGATGAAAGAGGAAATTTCAATTTCTTGAAAATATTTTTAAATCGAAGAACGAAAAAATTTCTTAAAAAATTCTTCGTATTGACCCACCAAATTCCAGTATACGATTCCTTTCACGAGCAGGTTTCAGAAAAAAATTCCAATGAAATACCATTTCTACGACCCCGTCGAATCCAGCAGGTGGTTGATCGACGAACAACGTCAACCCTTGAATCAGTTCTTGATCCCATACTGATTCGATTACAAAAGTTAGGTTAGGTTCCGATTAATCGCACGATTTGACAGATGACGTGTTATTCATGATCCGTACAGATAAAATGCGAATCGATCGAGGACAGTGACGTGTTTCGACGCGAGCATTAACCAAAGGACGACGAGAAGTTTTGAAATGATCGACGATGGATCCTACAAGCTTCTATACGCTCATTCGTTCCGTGCTGGCAATTATCGCGTAAATGAGGCCAACCATTAAGTCTAGTAATTATCCGTGCCTCGTATTACAGCAGAAATAAACGCTTCTATTTCGTTCTTATTTCTTTATTTATTTCATAGCCCTATATTTTTAATTGTATAACCTTTGAAGCAAGATCATGAATACATTCATGATTCATAACCTATTTACAGATTACACGATTATAGTATACTGAGTGAATAAAAATTAAAATAGAGAATAATAAAAGAGAATTAATGAAGTCTGGAATTTAATCACTTCTTGAAAACACTATTATTATTATTATCATAATGAATAAATATTTTAATCACTAATTAATGAAAATGTTACGAAGCGTAGATCGATAACTATCTGATCTTCATTCTAATCTTTTTTCTCGGATAAATTGGATTCCAATTTTTACCGCATAATTCGTTTGAAAATGAAAAGTAAAATTACTCACTGGTCTGATTCTGGAAATACGGATCGTCTCGATCGGTGAAAAACCATGTCTGAAATCAAAAAGAAAACGAAGATTAAATCACGATTGGATAAAAGCTACTTCTACGTCGGTTACGAATCTAACGATCAACGTGTCGGTCACGTACGCAGGCGCCATTGTTTACTTCGACTAACACGCGCCGCGTACCGATCATAAATTTCGATTTCTTCCGTTCGTTCCACCTCGGATCGCTCCATCTACGTCCACCGAGCTCGATAAATCGTTGCCAAGGGTTTCATCCTTGACCGGCCGTTGGGAAATCAAAACTATACTTTCCCTTTCTTCTCTTACGCGAGTGAAACTGCACGAGATCTCGAAACTCTCAAAACTCGAATCTTTCGACATTAACAAATGATTACTGTTTTGATTTTTGCAACTTCTATTTCGAAGTTTTTAATGAACTTAACTAAATTTTAACTAAACATTCAATATAAATAATATTTCAATTTTTCGATTTCAATATATGTATATAATGATAAAAAAATAAAAATAAAATAAATAATAAAATAATTCAAGAAGATTTAAGATAAGAAATAAGGTTATGTTATAAAAATCTTATAAAACGATTTCGAATGATACGAATTGAGAGGAAAACACCTTAGAGTTAGGAAACTTTGGTAGGTTCATCAGTCTCATCTGGCCAAGTGAAGAATGACTCGGTTAAAGATCGGTGCAGCGCACGTGTTAAAGCAGTTGCCTATTTTTAGTTGGCGAGTTCCCTTCAGGAAGTGAACGCCAACGAAACGAGGGGTACGATAACTTACCAGACGTCACGAGTATTGTTTCGAGGATTTTCACGTGGCGAGATGGAGTTTCGAATCAAGGAAATAAAAGAATTCCGCCACTTATACGGATAAAATGACAAAAAATACGAGAAAAATGTCCGTACCGATGGGATAAACCATTTTAAAGAATAAGCACGAAAGCAAAATTTTCCAATTTCTTGCAATGTTTACTCGAAATTATATTTAATTTTATAAGAATAGACAGCATTCCTAACCTAGAAATGCAGAATCTAATTGGATTAGAATTATGACTATCGATATCGTTATAAATATCGATAATATCGATAATATCGATAATATTGATAATATCGATAAATATCAATAATTTTGATATATCGTTAATATATCGACTAAAAGTAAACTACAATATGTATTATACAATATATATAATATAATTTTTCAATAAAATTTTATTTATTTTACAATTTCCGAATTATGAATAATATTTTTACATGTTTTAATAGTAACATTGGATAAAAAAAATAAGAATTTTAATCATTTCTACATTTCCCTTAATATCGTCGATATATAAAACTATCAATAATATCAACAATATATCGATAATCGACAGTCACAACTTTAAATATGGGACACGTGTTTCGATAGTAATAATATTCTTAGAAAATTAAAAATAGAGAAAAATTTAATTGAGGAATTTATTTTTAGTGAAAGAAATAATTTGTTCATTTCGATCGACAATTAAAGATTTGCATATGAGAGTTAAATTATCCATGAGATGGTATCTTACAATAAGAATTGTCGCGACAAGACAGATGTCCTGTGTAACCTGCAATTAAATCGTGGTGGAGAGAGAGAAAGAGAGAAGAAATGAATGTTTACAGAAGAAAAAAAAGAAAAGAGGTGAGACGAATAAACCCCGAGTCAGCGTTTGCAGAAGGAACACGAATATCCGGCAAATAAGAGATAATCACACACCAGGGAAAAAGAGAGACGAGAGATGTGATGACGTCAGTGGCACCGGCGTCGTGTTACATCGACGTAATTACGTTAATCCACGTACGTATATCGCGGCTAAAACGGGCATCGTCGTTAAGCTTATTTCTTACACTGGGATCCCAATGTTTGGTTCTAGTTGCCACCATTTACAATTATGCGTAATAAGTGAGGTTAGGAATTAAAAAGTTTCAAGTTAATTTTAGTTAACTAGTGATATATGTTTGTATTCCAGTTTGTAATATATCGGTATACGTGATAATCTGATTTTATAAGTTATTATTTCAAAAGGTAAATTTTGAATATCGAAAATTTTGGGAAAATAAAATATAAGTATCAAATATCGAAATATTAATAATGAGTGTTTTCATTGCTCCAAATTTTATTTCTTTAAAAATTGCAATGAATCCAGAATCAATTTCAAAAACAGATTATCGAAAAAGAAAATAAAATGAGATTAATTTGAAAAATTCCATATACTTTAATCGTGTAAAATTATAGCAGTGCGCTTAATAAGCATTTCCAGATAAATAAAAATCGTAATTGATCAATTATCCGGGAACGATTCAGGGGCGAAACGGTTATTGTAAATTGTAGAGTTACAATATGAAGCGAGTCACTGAAACTAATGACAAGAGAGAGCTTTGACATCCAATTGATCGATATTACCGATAGAAATTCCTTTCTTCTTAATAAAATCTTTCAATGAGATGTTAACTGCGGGCCAATTGAATACGATGACTGTCGAATCGCAACGTATTAATTTCATTCGGTTACAAGGTGCATCACGAGCAATTTGTCGGAACTGAAAATATCTACTTAATCTTGCTGCGATGATGAATATAAGAAATACATATGTACTGAAGTACGAATATATAGATATATATGTTTTATCTATCTAAATTATTTAAATTTCTATCATTTTAGATAGATCTATGCTATCGATCTTGATTTGATAATCGATAATTAATTTAATTGTGATTATTCATTATAGAAATATAATATGTTATTACAAAATATAATTCGATAAAATTTTCTTAACCTCAAATTTAATAAAACCTCAAATTAAAACAAATTAAAACCTACTTCAAACAAGATTCCCAATGGAATAAGATAGTAGATAAATATTATAGTGCTATAAAAACACAAGTACTCTGAAATAGACTTTTATATCCTTGAATAATTCTCTACGAATCCTGAGAATCTCGATTGTTATCCAGTCCTCTAACTTTTCTTGATTACTAGTTCCAAGAAGTGTCGTCGGTAGCGTTGGGAGCAGAGGGATGAGTAGAAAGGAGAGTACAATGCATGCAATTAGTCGTGGCATGATAATATCGCGAAAGTTGAGTTTGTAAACCTTTCGTTCCTACCGACATGCTATCTACAATTTTCGAGCTAATGGGAAGAAGAAAGAGAAAAATATACAAATAAAATAAAGAAATAAAATCTCATTTTCACGACTGTTCATTAAGTTGAAAATCTCTGTTCGATTTAATAAATTAGATATAAATTTCCATTTATTTCTTTCCATTTCAAATTAATGCAAAATATAATTTTAAATCTAATTATTCGAAAAATAAATAAAGGAATTGCATGTTTAATAACATTAGTTATAAATATATATAAATATAGATATAAACATAAATATCAAATTTACTATATATAATAAATTTCTATTTTACTTACCTGATCCTTAGCGAATTGAAACCACGTGCTGATAATAGCCGGCAGACGAGAATGATGATAATGCTTAGTGGTCTTTACACTGATGAACACATCGTCGAGATTTGTGGTGAATGGTGCCATCGTCGCAGTCGCGATTGCAGGTGTTACCGATGATTCCTCTCTGATCATTCTTCTTGAAGATGGCACTTCTACTAGTACATTTCTGCTATTTACTTCAACTGTCATCTCGTCGATCCACTAAACATGTAAATGTAATACATATACAAGGTCAAACTTTCTCGTAACATTTATAAACATGATGCATATAGAATAACAATTCGAATATTTAAAAAAAAAAAACGAAGAACATGTACAAATTATAAAACGAATTGATGAAGCATTTATCTTCTGTTGTTCGTTTTATAGCGTTTTATAGATATTCGATTTATATAACTATCGAATGACATTTTAATAATGAATATATAATTTTTACGAATTTCTAAAATGACGAATTACGAATGCTCTTTATCACAGATGTTAATTGAATGTTTTACTATGCAATTCAAATAATGCTGTAAATTTCTTAAAACACTTACCTGACGAGGTACAATAGCTTGATAAAGAAGAATCGTAGCATAAGCAGTGGCAAGAACAAGTGCCAACGCTTGAAGACCTCGTCTAGTCGGTAGGCCACGGGGCATTTTAGCACTTCCGGTGCCGGTATATCCCGCGTCAATCACCGACAAACGAGTCTGTGGCCCACCGCCACCAAATTTCACCGACTGTCCTTCTTCTCCGTGATTTTCGCGTTTTTCTCGAATTCCAATAATTAACGATAACCATCCCACATCGTTCTCCTCCTTCTGGCTTGTTAAAAATACGCCAGTCATAACATATGATATATACCTGTCAGTTTCCGCGTCACTCTCGTATTACTTTTTTTAAATATCGACTAAAAATTTGTTCTCGTTAATCAAATTAAATATACTCGTAACTCGAAACAATCACATTTGCGCATGACAAGGAATCACGTGAATTATATCGATTCACTATGTCAATCACAAGATCGTTCTTCGAGTAATTTTATTACTTTTTAAATTAATCAAAAAATGTAATTGTAAAATTTCAATATATGATATTTTGTAACAAATTGCTAATAATATCACTAATGTCATTATTTCACTTCACTTAGTTCATAGTTTTATCAATTTCTTCTAAATCGATTAAAACATTAAAATCGATATATTGATTTAGAATTCTATATTTCAGTTCAACAATATTTTGTATCTTGAAACTTGTCTTCCGAATTTAATATTATAAAAAAATATTTCTATGAATCAATTAATCATGTGTTAAATTGTTTAATTTTTGTCAATATTAAAAAAAATATAATTAATATAAAATAATTAAATGCAATTTGTATATAGTAAAATAGCAATAAATATTTGACAACTAGTTGTCACACAAAAATGCTTTCGGAGTGATACAAAGAATCACGAGGCCAACACGTAACAAAACGTACTGTTGCGCGGCACGCGACAGGCCACCGACTGA